GAGAGAGAGAGAGAGAGAGAGAGAGAGAGAGAGAGAGAGAGAGAGAGAGAGAGAGAGAGAGAGAGAGAGAGAGAGAGAGAGAGAGAGATCACACCATATATAAACAGTCGGAGACGGAAGAATTGAGGGGCAACACTTTAACAAAAAGGAAAGTGTTTTCTGCACTATCGAAATTCAAATTCAATTTATTGAATGAGGGGATTACCCGTCTCGTACCACGTCAAAGTAAACACACACAAAGCCGGCCGACTGATGCACCCAACCGGCGTAATACAACACTACAAAGACCACCAACGACAGCAATCGATGAGGACACCTTGCTGACGAAGCCGACTACAACGGGAAGCCTCCAACTATCCACCGACTACTAAATTCCAGGGAGCAAGTGCTACACAACACAATGCCAACGAAGTCTATCGCTCGCGAATAGCCTTTGCTATTTCCAACAACGCATGGCACATGAGTTTGCTGACTTCATCAAACGCGGCGTAGTGCGTCTTCTGTACCTGCACTTCAGCTTCTAATGCCTCACATTGTTGTAGTTGAATGCTGCATTGCCGGTTGTTGGCACTCTCCATCGTGGCCGCCATCAACGCACCGTGCTTGTCCATGCACTCCGTCATTGCTTTGAACGTCTGCTGCCGCGTGCTCTTCCTCTTTCCGAAACCATGAGGGCTGCCCGACGTCTGGGAGGAACCACGAGTCGATCCCTCATCCTCATCTTCCCCCCCCGCACCGACGTCGGCATTACCAACTGCTTCAGGATCAGCAGTTGTCGTCGACGGCAAACGCACACCGCCGCGGGCACCAGTGTCGGCAACGTTTTTGGGGTTGATGGTTTCGTTGAACCGCTGGACCCTTCAATCTCGTCGTAAATGGAGCGGTCCATGTTGAAATTGAAGCCGTGTCTCGCCCTCTCCTTGCCGTTCAACTGGAAGAAGTCGATTCCCCCGGACGGCGATTGAAAATGATGAACTTTCTTGAATTGCTGCATGAGGTTGTCCCACTTCTTCCCGCATTTCTCCGGTTTCCTGTCGACACCCACATTCTTCAATCTTCAAGCGATGTCATTCCATTTTCACTCCCTCGGCTTCATCCGGGCATAGGCATGCCCCATCCCCTGCAAGTGTGCATCCTGATCGCGTTTCGCCCGTATGAGCGCGATGATATGTTCGACACTCCAAAAGTTTCGCTTCTCCTCTGCTTCGCCGTCGCCTTCTCCGTCGTTCGCCTTTGCTTGCGCTTTCTTCAGCCGCCCACGACCGTTCTCGCTCGTCGCCTTCGTCTTGCTGCCCTTCCCCCCCCCGTCGCTGTTCTGCGATGGCGAGGCCGCGTAACCGCCGTTCCCGTCTCCTGCTTCTCCTGCGCCGTCGTCGTCGTCGTCTTCGGATGGAAGCCCCGCATGTGGCTCCTCAACTTCTTCCGCCTGCCTGTCCATCCTCAGCCGCTCCACCCCCCGCTTGATTGCTTCCTCTCGCCCCTCCCTGATCTTCCGTCGCTCCTCCGCCCACACTAACCGCCCGTCGTGGTCGTCAACGACGTCGTCCAAGTACCCCCCCCCCTCCTCGACAATGCCACGTCGACGTCCCAGGTTGGACGCAGCACACACCGGGGCCGGGGACTGCATAAACGACGGACGACCTTGCGTGCTCCTGGAGATGGAAGTCGCTCGTCCCTGCCACTGCTGCGCGCCTGCGGATTTTGATGATCGGTCCACAGCGGTTAACTGCCCGTCGTCGTCGCTGACATGGGGATTGACCATCACTGTGCGCGTCTGGCTTCCACACCTCCCTGTAGACAGACCGGAAGACAGTTCGATCTGCCATGCCCTTCTTCCCCATCGAGACCCGGCGCCAGCAGTTCAGTGAAGGACTGGCCGTGCACGCCGCCGCACAGCTCCATCCAAGACCATTCCTGCGTAGAACCACTACCCAACGGAACAGTGTGTGCCCGTCCCTCCCTCTCCTCCTCATGAGATGAGTCAGGGAGGGGTTGCAAATGCGGCGGCAGTGATGAATGACCGCCCCCAACGACAACCTGGAAGCCGGAAAAGAACTCCCAACGGCACGCGTGCTCACAACCTGCTCCCCTCCTCCCCTGGGGCATCCCTGTCCACTATCCATCCTGACGGCCTTCATCAGCGAAGTTCGTCTGCATCGATGCCGCGGCGCGTTCCCGACAAAACACACGTGCAACACTACGACGACGACCAGTAGGAAGACGGCGAGAAGCAGCAGCGGGAGCTTGCGAAAGATGTCAGCCATGCGACGGACGACGGCAACGGCACTAGACGGAAGAGAACACGGCCGACAACGTAACTGCGACGTCCTGCACACGGCGACACGCGCTTGGCGACAAACGGAAGCCGTCGTCTTCTGGACACGCTGTGCCGCCTCAAATCTTCGCATTTGCCGACCGTTGGCCGGTTTCCCGCCACGGCTGAAGCCCAACCCCAAGTTGCAACGCGGTGTGGGGATGCTACCGGCCGGCTAACGGTTACCGTTGGCGTGGACATCGGGCCTCTTGAACGTTGGCGACCCAACATGTCCGTGCGCAAGTCGCCCGGACCACCGATGGACCAGACGCCGCCGACAAAAGAAGTCGTCTGAGGTGCCATCGAAGAGCGGGTTCTTCCCGATGGGGGAGCTCCAAGGATCCTACCGGAGGTTCCTTGGGGAAAATTGAAAATTGCCTGTGCCCCGAGGAATCCCCGAGGAATCCCCGAGGAATTGTTTTCACTTTTTTTTTTTTTTTTTTTTTTTCCCCGAGGACAAGTGGAACGACGATTTCCTTGGGGGATTTCGGCACCCGAGGAGTGTCGAACGAGCCCCTGTGTTGTTTTCAGCACGTGTATCCTCTAGGGCCTCTGCGTTGTTGTCAGCCCGTGTATCTCGTTGGGCCCCTGTATCCCCGTTGCCAAAAAAAAAAGAAAAGCTCGTGGCGCTGTATCTTTCCATATTCTAGGGTAGATTCACTCTCGTTTTCCACATTTCGATCGTGGAAACTGAGAGTGAATCTTCTGTTAGAACATGGAAAGATACAGCGCCACGAGCTTTTCTTTTTTTCTTCTTGTTTCTTCTTGTATCTCGTTGGGCCCCTGTATCCCCGTTGCACAAAAAAAATGAAATCATGGCGCTGTATCCTTCCATGTTCTAGCCAAGATTCACTCCGATTGTGGAAACTGAGAGTGAATCTTCCGCTAGATCATGGAAAGATACAGCGCCACGAGCTTTTCTTTTTTTCTTCTTGTTTCTTCTTTTTTTTTTTTGGAAAACGGCCTGGCCCTCCGACGTGGATGACTAGAATGCAGTTAGAAACTCTGCCCTGTGACAGGCACCCGACCAAAGAGTTTGGACTGCAGTGTAAACTTCAGAGGGGCTTGGACTCCAAAACGGCAGTTTGAAACGTATTTTCAAACTCTAACCCTGACAGCGCCCTAGTTTTCTCTTGTTTTTTTTTCTTGGGTCCGCATTCGAACCTTCGGGCGTTCGGGTTCGGGCATTCGGCCCGGCCCGAACGCCGGCAACGCTGAGCGGATACACATACATACACCCCTTGGAAGAAGGAAAAGAGGAAAGAAATCAGTAGTCAGTCAGCGAGGAGGATGACATTGTATCTTCCAGCAGAGAAAGGCAAGATGCATGGGTTACTACGAATTGCGATGGATGCATTTTACCACTTCCTGGGGCAGATGCATTTGTTCTCTTTTGGTTTCAACCTGGTGTGGCCAGGCCCTATATCTTTTTTCTGAAGAAAAGGGGCACATCGGCCTTGAGGTATCTTCATAGAACTGACTGGCAATAGACTCTGAGCTGAACGCCCCCACGGGCAGGTAATTCAGCCTAAGGCTTCCTTTAGTACGCCGAACTGGGGTCCGCTGATCAACAGTTCATGGGTGTAACCTTCAGCCACATGGCCTGGGTAAATGGGTGGATGATGGGTCTTTGTTATTATACTTATACTGATACTTATACCAGGCTGAGCATAAGCAAAGTTTTGCTTAAAAAAAATAAAAAAAAATCCAATAAGGATTCACCAGGAGCATGGTCCCACTAGCAACGGGGATTGGATTAAGATCCTGAATCTGGTGGGCGTGTTTTAGCCGGAGATGCAGAAAAGGAGTTCCATCTCTATTCTCTGCACCTGTCCACAAACGCGGCCAAATTAAGGCGTCCAATCCAATCCTCTTTGCTAGTGGGACATAGCCCCAGAACACTCTGCAAAGTAGTTCTATTAGGGCTCAGTGCCCGAGGCATGAATACAAAGTCCGAGAGCTGCAAAAGCTTCAGGGACTGCTGGGTATTTCTGGTACTCCACAACCTAGTCAATGTAGTCATCTGCGTGCCCTGTGGGAACAAATCCAACTGTTACCATCAAGGAAACATGCAGGGCTTCTATGAATGATTTCTCGTGGGGTCGTCCCTACTGCTACTTGGCTGTCGAAGAGGAAAATGGAGGTGGACGTTCTCTGTTCTCAGTGCCTGGGGGCGGAGGAAACGCTTCGCCACCTCCTTCTGGAATGCCCAGTAGCACAGAAACTGTGGTCATGGTGGAGGCAGCATTGGGATAAGATAACCAACAAAAGCATGGAATGGAATGACGACTGGATCATGACAGGTCGTACGCCAACAAAGCTGGAAACTCGGAAGGGATGGGGCTATATTGCTCAGGTAGCAAGGGCTATTTTTCTCAGAGTGTTATGGATGGGCAGGAATGCACGTGTCTTCAAAGGCGAGGAGACTTCACAGGAGCAGATGCAAAAGGAAGTGCGTTTTCAGGTTAGATTGGCAGTGCTGGTGGATTGGGCTCGAAGAGTTAAGAACAAAAAACCAGGAAAAAGGAAGTATCAGTGGTTTTTAAGAACCTGGGGCCAGAGGAACCAGTTGGCAGCTATCAAACTGCAGGGACAATTGATTCTGGGCCCATGGCTTCTGCATGCTCACACAACCTGAACACTTGGTTGCTTCTTGTGTCCACAGTAGGACGGCAGTCTGGAGGAAGTAGGATGGTGGAGGGAGCGTCTCAGGGAAAGGGAGTCTGCTGAAACAGGTGAAGTTTCGGGTCGCTCCGGGGAGAGAGAACGGCATTTTAGCCAATGTTCAGGGTTACTGGAAGTAGCTGAGCGGGGTATAGGAGAAGTGCTTGAATTTAGTTAGTCTGAGGATAGTAAGGGACTTTAGTCTTTCAGGCCTTTGTAGAAGATAGGTGGTTTTGGGCGAGCTGGGGTTTTTGCTTGAGTTCTTTTGGGGCTAATAGGTTTTCTGCAAGTTCAAGTTGTGTCTGTTTTGTTAATTTTTGGGGTTTCCTGTAATAGAATAGATTCTAGCTGAAGAGAATAGGCTGGACTATTTCTGGACAGGAAGGGGCTCTTTTTCCGGGAAATTGTGGGGGCCCGGCCCCAACTTTTCATGAGCAATCAAGTGGTTTTTTTTCTCGAAAATAAATAAATAAATAAAAAATAAAGGAGCAAGTTGAACGGACTTAGTGCATACTCACACTAGCACATTTCTTAGGGCATACTCACACGGGGACCAAAAGTCTCAAAAATTTGAGGCATTTGGTTCGGGTTTTTTGAGGCATTTGGTCCCCCTGTGGTCGGACTTCGTCCAGAAAGGACGAAGTCGCGACCCTGACACTTTGGGTTCAGGGCAAGTGCTGCGGGTCACACGGTCGAGGACCAAAAAAAAAAGATGGAATTAGAAAAAAAAAAAAACAGAAACAAATATGGAATTTGTTTTTTTATTCTTTT